TATATATATATATATACACAAATGCTATAAATTTATAATAGTAATTAGCAAAGTGAAAGATCACATATCTTGGCCTGACAATGCGCAGTACTCGGGTGAGGCTCTAGAAGTTTTATGAAGTTCAAGAGCCCTTTTAACTTTCTTCAAACAATCCCTTCCCTTCGCTATATAAATAGACTGATCTCTGCGAAAGCGCACTTTTTACAGCCCAGCCAAAATTCATGCATGAAACGAGTTGTAGATGAGAATTTCGACTTCGTTATGATTATTTCCCCCTGTAAAGAAAGATTTTAAAAACCGTTATTTATGAAATATTTTATAATATTTTTCTTTCATGATATCTTTAAATCTATAAATGATTAGAGAAATATAAATTTTTGTAGAGAACTAAGGAAGACTGAAAAACGTCTTTAGAATATTAGTAATGATATTGATAAACTGTATATTTTAATTTCCAAAAACTAGAATTGAAAAATAGGTCAATTTTATTTTCTTACAGATTATAAATTTTTACAATTATTTATTTTAAAGAGAAACATTTATTGCTTATTACTTGAAATAAAAACTAATATTTAAAGATCTTACAGAATGATCATTACTGATTTAGATGATAAAAATTAAAGCAGTTTCATTATTAATATATTTCTAATTTTTACTTTAGGAAAAAATTATTTTTATCAGCGGTTGTTGGTCATGTTTAATTGGATTTATTATTTTAGGTAAGTATTTTTTTTTAATTTAAAACTTAATTAAAATTATTTTTTATTATTTATATAAGTTTATAAGCAATACATTATATTTTGTTTATTGAGGACATAATTATATGAATTAATAAAATCTAGATATCGATATAAATTATTTTAATGTTTTAGTCAAATAAATGATAATTATGGCACTAGTTTCTGTCGATCAAAGCGTAAAAAGAACAATAAAATGAAGTACCGATGATTATGTAATGTATGATTATGTTAAGTTCCGCAACTTCACTCGAGACAATGAGATTGCTGACATTAAAGAAAATTAGGATACGTTGAAGTATCAAATTTTCTGTTCTTTTTTCTTCTAATTGTGCAATTTTGGACTAAATATAACTATAAATTTTATATTTTAATGACAATTTTATTGCTTTTCCTCGCAAATTTTAAGATTTATCTGTTGTCATTATAATTATTATAAATATTAAAAACTTATTTACTATTTGTTAAATCAATTGAGTAAAATTCGTGATTGCTTTTACAGTTTGAATCACGTGAAAACTTTTAAAAACTTATTTGAAATTTTATCATTAATCGAATTTTATGCTAATTATCAATTTATTTTCATAAGACCTATATTTTTGCAGGAAACTATTATATATGCCTAATAAATTTATGTGAATAAATAGAAATTTAAAATTCTTTATTAGTATAGGTCATAATAAAAGAGTAATAAATGAAATAGTTACTTAGTGTTTTAATATAAAATAATTTTTGCGTACTTTTATCTTATGGAACAGATTATTAATCCAATCGCAAGCAAATATATTTATACAAAGCGTAATGTTAATTCACGCCATTAATTTATAAAGATTCGAAACACAAACTGTAATTTAATATAATTCCTACAAATCAATGCTATCAATAACAATATATATTACAATATTTTACAACTCTCTTGTCTATTTGTTAATGAGTAAGCTAGTCTGTAGACGAGCAAATTTCAATTTGACTATAGAATTTAATAAGATCTAAAAGCTTTTGGGGAATATATTCGTATCGTCTTTCCAATTTTAAATCTAAGTTTCTTAACACGATGATTTTTATACACTCTATTATTCCTATCTATAATTTAATTTAACTTCTTGCTAACATACAATTTTTAATAAGAAAATTATGAATTTATTTACATAATATAATTATTGAGATTAGGTACGAATTGTAAATTAATTTTACACATCATGTATTACATGTCATACAGCATATAATAAAAGATTACAATTAAATTTCTGTGACACTTCTATGATTTATTTTCTAAAAACTGTAATATTTAGTGTTATAAGTCCTTATCTGCAAGTTTTTTTTTATTTCAGTCTCAAACAAACATATTTAATTGTTACTGTATTATTAAGCACTTAAATCCTGAAAGGTCAATTCAAGAGTTGATAATCGAATCTTCTTCGTTTGATGTTTAACTATCCGCTATAATTTGTTTAAAAAACAAGTTCAGAAGTAACATTTAACAGGTAGATTCCTTTAAACTTTTTCATTATTTGATTAAATTATTTATAGTCAGCGGCCTTGATCGAATTTTTTAACCTACTATTTATGCATCAGTGTATAGCTATTGTTTCGTTAAAAAAACATTTTTTTTAGTACCGCTTGATCTATTAATGATAAAATATATATTTCAAATTACGAATAACGCAATGATATTGTGCTATTATATTAATAGATCGATTGTATATTTATACGAGCACATCGTAATTACATATAGCCTATGTATATGAAATATTTTATGAAAACTATAAATTCGTATGAGTTTTGATTAATCGTTGGCATTATTATTTTGACTTCCATTGCTCACTGCCATAAATACAATTCTCCCTATTAAATTCTATATCTTTCTTAATGCTAAACATAATGCTTGCTTTCGTTTTCTGGTGTATTATTTCTGTATAGTTTATTTTCCCGTAATCATTTTTCATAAAATTACTAATTTTAAAACAACATTTCAATTGTTTTAACTATGAATTCATATAAATGCAGAAGGAAGAAAGTTAATTATAAACATGCAACATTTTGGCATTTAAATGATTAAATAAAAAATTTTTATAATTATTATAAAAATCAAACTTATGTTTTAATTTAATAATAATAATTAATTTTTATATGAATAATTTGAAATAATTTATTTGATAAATACAAAACTTTTTAGTTCAATAATAATTTGTAATTTTAATGAAATGAAACTATTTGATACGATAACAACAAATAAAAATAAAATTTATATTCGTGTAATCTTTATTAACCTTGAATGGTGTAACTTAAATAAAATAATTTCGATACAAAATGACTTTAATAAAAATATAAAAATAAAATAATATGGAATGTACTTTTAAAAAGCTGCAAGTCCGGATGTATTCAGATGTAATCTTTTAATATCTTATTTAATGTGTGAACTTGTCGACTATTCAACTGTACTTGGGTGAATAACATCATCAAGGTTAGTCACGTCTTTACTATAATGATATAGAGTAACTTCCTTTAAGGTTTACAAAGATTCATCACTCTAAGGTAGAGAAAATCTTGCTGAATCATTCTCCTCCGGACGCTCTCCTTGACCAACTTTCTTACTTGATCTACGTAACTTTTCTTTCAGTGAAATTTTATCCACAGGCCTACAGCAAATTCACTAATTTAAGGAAAAATATTTAAGAATGTAATTTTTCTTTAATTCTTTGTTTCAGAAACTAATTTGTTTTAACAAAAACAAAGTAATGATGAATTAACATTCCATTAATACATAAATAATAATTTATGAATAGTGACTAAAAAACAAGATATAAATAATAATTATTCAAAATGTATGTATTCGTCTATTGTTGATTCATTTATTATACTCAGAAACAAATAAATATTGTATGTGAATACAATAATAAAATTATATATCCATTTATTTATTTTTATATCTAGAAATATATTATAAATGTATAATGCTATTTAAAGTATATTTTAATAAAATTAATTACAAATTTTGCACAAGAATATCAATAAATCTTCAAAGCAAAAAGTTTAAATATTTCTAAGCACGTATTTTTGCTAAATAAAAATTCCAATTTTACTTTTATAATTTTAATTTAATACAAACCGAGCATAGATTTCTCAATGTGAATATTTTACGTGTTTGAAAGAGTATAACCAGTTTTTCTTACCTTCCCTTCCAGTTTATTGTTATTAAAAAGTAATGCATTTTATAATATCGTCGTTGGAGAAACATCAAGAACAGCAATCTCCGTCTCTAATATTAAGATTCTTGTACAGTATTGAAGACTATCCTGGAAATGCTTGTGGAAACTTTTATTAAACTGATTATTTATTTATTTGTTTGTTTATAAAATGTGATATATGGTAATTAGTATAAATAAGTCAGAATGAAATCGAACACAATTTAGATCTAGTAGAACCAACCGGCACAACTTTTATTTTTGTTCTAATTCCATAGATTTAAAATTTTGCATCAATATAGATTATTAGAATAATGATTTTAAAATATATTGATATTAAAGCACACGGTTTGTTGCCTCTATTATAAAAAATGCTAAAACATAAGAACTAATCAAAATTTTCAATTAAGCATTCAAGTTTCAGATTCTCTAAAAGTATTGGCCAAAAATTAAGTTAATGTCGATTATTTCAATACATTAAGAAATTATTTATATAGAACTCAAATTACGTATATACGTGTAAATAAAATACTGTCGTTTAGCTGTTTTTAATTTGAGTTTATCTTGCATTTGAAATGCCTAATAATTGGAACTTTAAAATTACTAAATAATTATTTTTATGAATATTTATACAGGTAAGATAAATAACTAACTGAATAAAATTATATTGTATGTTAAATTCTATACGAATTCTTCTCGCATATTAATTTGGGTAGGCGAGCAACCGGATCATCATTATTATTCTACAGTGTCATCTAGTATAATTTGTTCTAAGTTTTAACATTTAACAGTTACAACTGAAATTGCACAAAAAAAAAAGAAAGAAAGATAAAAACAAGCGGGAGAATACTAAGAAATGATATATCGATAAGATTCTGTTAAACAATTCAGTCAATTATTTTGCAATTTTCTGATAAATCGGTAATTACTGCCTATAATTAAGTTTGTCGAGTTTTCCTGTAATAAAAATTCTTTGATAGCTAGACAGATAAACTTTTAATTTTTGAAACATTTGAAAATCTTATAAATCAAACTTTACTGTGTTTTTAAACCATAGAATTGATCTGTAAGGAATCTTTTTAAAATCTTATTTTAGATAATATTTCTTCTGAATGAAAAATTTTCAATTTTATAATATGCATAATCACTTTATCACATTTATAACATTACATTAATGTATTTTATGAACATTCCAAGTACACGATTAATAAATAGTTAAAGATGAGGCTATCGTCATTTATAAACGTAAAGCTTAAATTTTTTTAGGAATTAAATATTATAAAAGTTCGGTTGATTCTTAGTTAGAAATAAATTATTATTTTCCTTCTAGTTTGAAAATATTCATCGTTATTTTTAAAACTTAAAGCCTTTCGCTAAGCTTATTAAATTATTAATTTTTTTTGAAGTAATATATGGATATTCAGGTTTATATGATAGTTTGCGAACTTTGATCCTACAATAAAATACAGGTTTTGACAAATGATTTTACCTTCTATTATGGCAAAAGTCAGCTTAAAAAATGTCAAGTTTTCGAGGTCGTTACTCCAGGTTAGAGATCAAGGATAAACTATAGCTTTTTTTTATTATTGTTATTTTTTTTATAGAATAAATCATTTCAGTTTAATTGAACATAATTGATAATAACATCTCATACAAATATTATAATCAGACATTTTGAAATAGGTTTTGTTGGAAATTTTAAACCTAGGATAACTATTAAATAGATATAATTTGTTAAAGGATGGCCCGTGGGGTAAAGCGAATACTGTATAACAAGCGATAAAATTCAATACAAAGGTAAACGATAGATGGCGCTGCAAATCGGAAACAAAGATACTATAAAATTTCTTTACTTCTCCACACGTGTTTAAATAAAATCTATTAAAGTACGATAATGCCCCTTACTTTAGAAAATAATTTATGAAATTTTTCTATCAAGCGAGAAGATATGAAATTCTCCAAATGCATAAAAAAGTAAAATTGCTTTAAAAAAAGGTAAAGGAACAACAAAATTACATTTAAAACGTTTCACGAAAATAACGTTCCTCTATTTGGAAGAACGACATATATCAAAAGGTTTTCGTGAATGAAGATCTACTACTAATTTTTATGAATGAAGATTAGTAGTAGATCATTTAAAAAATAATAGAGATAAAGTATAGCCTACTACTATTATATTCGATTTTTTTTGTTTATATAAATAAATATATAACTAACTATAGTTAGAATTTGTGACTTTTACATCGTGTTTTTAAGTTTATTCTATCAAATTTCTAAGTTTATATATAATTCGTTATTACTTTTGTTCTATATATTATCATCGAATATTATGATTTATCCTAGAAGACTTTTTCTAATTTTTCAAAAAAATAATAAGATAAATATTTAATAAAATTTTTAGACGAAATTAAATCAAAACTTCAAATAAAATATCACCAATATCTTTAATTCAAGAACATGTGTTACATTAGATTTCTTTTATAGGAATTTTACTGGGTGGACAGAATTGGCAAGAAACATACGGAACGGTAGTGACCCAATATGGAGTTATGCCTCCTCGATCCATCGATGCTAACTTAACAATTTATATCGGTCTTCAAGATGTCACTATTATTACAAAAGGTGAGGTATTAAAACCTTAAAAATTGTTCTAAGCTAGAATGATAGTATGATGAATATATCTTAACGCTATATTGAAATGTAAAATTAGATATCAAAACGGAATTTAAATACTTTGACTAAATTATTTTTATTTAATTTTGCTACACAACTAACGAATTAAAGTTTGTCAAATGAATATTTTATATTAACTTATGAATTAATGTTTTATATAAAAGAATTTACTAAATTATAGCGTTTTATGAAAGAAAATAACTTTAACTGTTACTATTCACATTTAAACATTTTGTTTTATTATGTTTAGAACAATATTACAATATACTAATGAAAGAAAATATTCGCATACTGAAATATTTAACAATATTGTATGCTGAATATGTTGATATTTTTATTATATAAATATTTTAGATATATTACATTTATTATGTGATGATGGCGTGTCATTTCTGTAAAGATATTTATTACTGTATTGTTTAGTAAATAAAAATAAATTATAGTAACCTAATAAAGTCTATTTGAACATTGGCAGTTTTTAAATGTTATATTTTTACTTCATTTCCTAAATATCTTATTAGTTATTATTGATACTTTACAGTATCTTTCATTTTTAAAAAGTATATTATACTTGAATTTTTTAAAAAATTTTATGTTTTATAATGTTTTTAGGTTTTCTCGACGGAGAAAAAACTGAAATTGAGAGTAAAGAATTCTTCTCGTGGAGAAATGGTAATATATTTTTTGAATTTATGTTAACAAGATTTTATTTTATAATCACTAAACAAAATATAGATGTTTTAGATGCATTTACAAAATTTATTATTTATAAAAGAAGTAGATAAATAATTCCTGTAATCATTTTTATTTTGTAAGTTAAATTTAAAGAATATCGGTAATTTATTTATTATTATGTAAATTTGAAAAAATTCAGCTGAAGAAGTTTAAGCGGCCATCATTTTGGTTCATCGTGGTAAATGATGATTTCATGACGTTTCCTGATAAATTATAGCTATGACCTTAATTTTATTCAAATTTATTCAAAATTATTTGATTCGTATCATTATAGAACATGAAAAAGCCGTTATTTTCTTTCATTAAAGCTAGAGTTCTGGATTTAAATTTTTATCCTAGATGTGATCTGAATTTAAAAGAGACAAGTCATATATTTACGTTACAGTCTGTTACTTGTACTTTTAACGAAATAAATGAATCTATTTAAATAATCTGTATTGGTAATGCATATATATTATACATATACACACTATAATAGACAATAGTCATAAAATTTTTTATTAATTTATGTTATGCAAAAATCAAACATATTGTTTTTATATAGGCCTACTGTATTATAAAATGTACATATGCACACAACACACACAAAGTTTGTTTAACGTATACTTTATGAATTTCATTAATAGAAATAAAAAGTCAAGTGGTGTTATAGGTATAAAAATCTATGAAATTGTAAGTAGGCGTACCTAAAGAATAACAGACGTGATTGAAATATCGCCTCTGTTGTTCTTTAGATACGCCCACTTACAAATATCAGATAAACTTAAAGAAAAATCTTAATTATTATACTGAATGTTGGCATTCAGAACTTCTTTTCTGTTTCTGAATATAGTTAAAATTAGAATTTAATGTTTATCATGTCTGTATTTAAAATATATATATATATANATTTAGGCCCTAATGCTTTTTTTATAATACAGTAATATAAATTTTCCAAAAGAATTTTACATAATATTTAATATTATAAAATTTATTTATAGTTTAAGCTGGAAAGTTGACAGAATATTTTTTTATCACGAATCTCAAGAAAATTTAAACAAGAAATTTGTAGGTCTTATTTAAATATTACAATGTTGTACTGTTTTATTTTACAGCTTACATGAAAGATTATCTACGTAATGGACTACAAAAGGGTTTACCTTATCCTGTACTTTCGATATTGGAATACTTAAATGAAGATCATGGATGGGGAGCTAGATTATGTCTCATTGGCAGATTAGTATCTGCGGGATTATGGTACATAATTGCTAATTTTTTATATAATTTTAATTTATAATCTATATTAATGCGGTGCTATCTTATAATTATAGGATAAGTTTAGCAATTGGGTTGTTATCAGCAATATTTGTTCAAGTACAAGAGAAATGGTTAATGGGCACTTCATTAGCTCTTACAGGATTTACTATTATATCGTCTTGCCTTATCTATTATTTTAATTTACTGAAAACACCTGTTGTTATATATATATCGGGAAAACCTATGCCATTAATAAGAGGTTGGATGTTTTACTTTACACTAAACTTAGGTAAGTAATAATTGATTCGATTAATATAATCTAATGGAAAATGTGTTATAAATTTAAAAAAATTACTTTAATCTTTTAACTCTATAAAGACGTTATTTTTTTCATTATTGTTTTTATCAATAAATCATATACATACATAATGTATTTTTATTATATTATTTGTTTTTCCTTAATACTTTAATATTGATTAACAATACAGTGTGGCCAAAAAGTCGCTTGCCAAATGGGGGTAATCACTGTTCTCATTGCTTCAGGTGCGGAAGTAATCATGCTGAACCCTGAACTACGAGTGGAACTTGTTTTACTGTGTGGGAACCACAGACTAATCTGTGGTGGGAACAATCACAGAACAATATGCGAAGTGCACCGTCGCCACCTAGACCCTCCGGAGCGTTCATATCAAGTTGTAGGCAATATTCTAGTGAGATCTTTAAAAATATTCAAGTGTCCTGGATGAAAACAAGCTCCACTCGCTGTTCAGGGGTCAGCATGATTACTTCCGGTTGTTATAGCATCTGAAACAATAAGAACAGTGATTTGGCAAGCGACTGTTTGGACACATTTTATAATGGCTTTTTATAATATATGTTAAGTATATTGAGTAGAATATCTAATTAAATGCAAATTTACTTTATATCTAAAGAAGTAATCAAAAGATTTACAGAAATTAGAATATTAAAAATATATATTTAAATTTTAAAAACTAAAAAGGGGATTTTATAGGCACTTCAAAGATATAAATAATACAATAAAAATTGAAATACATTTTATTTAAACTTAAAAGATTTGAATTGTTTTAATTGGAAATGTATTTTAAATTATGAAATATATATAATAAAGTAAACTTAAATATGAATATAAATTATAAGTATGAAAGTATTAAATAAATAAAGTTAATAAATAGATTTAACCTATGTAATTATGTGATATTTAAAATAAATGAACTGTGAAATTTTAAATAATTTAGAATATTTACTTTAAATTTTAGGTATTGTGTGTGTGATCTTAAGTACATCGACTTTATTGGTTTTGTCATTGAATACCTTAGAGACACCTATCCAATTTATATGTAAAATATACTTCAAAGTATCCATGCTCTTCCGAAAGCACGTACCTCATTTACAAGCGATCACTTAATGCATTCATAGAAAATCATCATTTTGAATATCATCCAACAACTCGTCAAGGTGCGCTGTGTCATCTGCAATTCATAATAAAAACCTAGTCGATTTTTTTAATTTATCCGATTGATTGCATTTGTAAAATATTTATACACATGATTTCATAACTTTCATTATATATACGAAGGTGTTTCAATAAGTAACACCTTTTATTTTTTTAAACAAAGATTTTATTGTGTACGCAAAAACGTGAATATAATAAAGGAAGTTTGAATTTCTGGCAACACTATTGCACGATAGGAACACTTGTGTTGCCTCTCGGACATTTCTGAAACGGAAAGANAGAAATTAGAATATTAAAAATATATATTTAAATTTTAAAAACTAAAAAGGGGATTTTATAGGCACTTCAAAGATATAAATAATACAATAAAAATTGAAATACATTTTATTTAAACTTAAAAGATTTGAATTGTTTTAATTGGAAATGTATTTTAAATTATGAAATATATATAATAAAGTAAACTTAAATATGAATATAAATTATAAGTATGAAAGTATTAAATAAATAAAGTTAATAAATAGATTTAACCTATGTAATTATGTGATATTTAAAATAAATGAACTGTGAAATTTTAAATAATTTAGAATATTTACTTTAAATTTTAGGTATTGTGTGTGTGATCTTAAGTACATCGACTTTATTGGTTTTGTCATTGAATACCTTAGAGACACCTATCCAATTTATATGTAAAATATACTTCAAAGTATCCATGCTCTTCCGAAAGCACGTACCTCATTTACAAGCGATCACTTAATGCATTCATAGAAAATCATCATTTTGAATATCATCCAACAACTCGTCAAGGTGCGCTGTGTCATCTGCAATTCATAATAAAAACCTAGTCGATTTTTTTAATTTATCCGATTGATTGCATTTGTAAAATATTTATACACATGATTTCATAACTTTCATTATATATACGAAGGTGTTTCAATAAGTAACACCTTTTATTTTTTTAAACAAAGATTTTATTGTGTACGCAAAAACGTGAATATAATAAAGGAAGTTTGAATTTCTGGCAACACTATTGCACGATAGGAACACTTGTGTTGCCTCTCGGACATTTCTGACAAACGGAAAGAAAAGAGCAGCGAAGCGTTATTCGTTTTCCATGGGCAGGGGGCAAGAAATGTGAACAAATTCATTCGGAAATGCAGAAAGTGTACGTGATGACTGCATGGACAATTCAACGTCAAATAATTTTGTGTTAATGACTTTGTTTTGTGAATTTTCTTAGTAGAACTAAGCAGCAAAATATGCAAAATACTTGTTTTTTTACATTTAATTTGTTTTTTTTATAATAAACAGATTAGCTTATGATTGTAATAATAGCAAACAATGTTCCTATTTATTTGATGCCGTACAAGGGACGTTCTGTTATGGTTAACATTAATTTAAAATCGAAATTTTCGAAACATTCTTTAAGTTAGTCGAATTATTTTACATTTTGGACAATCGCATGTTTTTTATTACATATGATTTTCACTAGCTGTTTTTGTACTGTTTTGTTATTTAGGCCCTAATGCTTTTTTTATAATACAGTAATATAAATTTTCCAAAAGAATTTTACATAATATTTAATATTATAAAATTTATTTATAGTTTAAGCTGGAAAGTTGACAGAATATTTTTTTATCACGAATCTCAAGAAAATTTAAACAAGAAATTTGTAGGNTATTCGTTTTCCATGGGCAGGGGGCAAGAAATGTGAACAAATTCATTCGGAAATGCAGAAAGTGTACGTGATGACTGCATGGACAATTCAACGTCCGCCGATGGTGCTAAATGTTTAAAAATAGTTGTCAGTGTGTGATTGATAAGCACAGGTCAGGTCGTCCGGTACGTGCAGCTTCGCCTCAAAACAGTCACTCGTTGCTGTTGATCGAACGATTCAAAGTAACTGCCGCATTCGCTTGAAGACGCTGTCGGAAAACTGCTCAGTGTCCTGTTTGGTCCTTTGAAGAAATTCCTGGCTAGAGAGAAGTTACATTCCAACAAGGAGGTTAAATCGGCTGTTCGCAGATGATTGTATGGCCAGGAAACGGCATTCTATAACGCAGGCATCTTCAAGCAGGGACACTGCTGGGACAAGTGCTTGAACCTGAATGGTTCTTATGTCAAGAAGTAGCCTAATCCACATATTTCATTTCGTATATTCTGTATTTTCCATATGCATTAACACTTTTGCTTAAAAAATAAAAGGCGTTACTTATTGAAACCCCCTCGTATAATAACTGATTAAATAGAATCTGTATGAATTAGTCGCGCTTATTAGTCGCTGTATGAATTAGGTTCATCTTATAACGCTTATAATATCTAATTTAAAATATCTTTGAAACTTGGTTAAACGTAATTAAAATTTGATTTAATTAATTTTAAAAATGATAGATACAGAATTATTTGTAAAGCTAAAGAAAATATATGCAGTTAGTTCCAAGAAACTGTAGATAATGGACATATTTTTCTTAACGTAATGCATTCCATGTAAGAAACTTGTCAAAGCACAGCATATTGCTAAGATATTGGCGCCATCCTTAGTAACTAGTTTGCTATGTACAACAGAAATGTCGAAACATTCCCAGTAGGTAGCGGCTACAATTACAAACGTAGCCTACAATTGAAACTATCACGTTGCTCTCCCCTGTACTGTCAGAATGTTCATTTTGAGTGTTAATGCTGATACGATGTAATCTTTGCTTGTCCGAAAAATTGAAATAAGTTAACTTAATTTTCTTTGTTTTAATCACTATTTTCTTAAGAAACTATGTTTATTAATGAATAAGTTGACATACGACTTTTTTACTTGCTCTATTTTCAAATCTTAAAATTCTTTGTGATATTATGCTGGGTAACGGCACAACAGTAATAAGGATTACCTATGCACATTCACTTTGATTTCTACTATATGTAAGCGTTAAAAATTCTTTCCAGATGCCCCTGCAGAAGTTTGCGCTGGAAGTTTAACTTTAATGTGACTGTGAGTGATACTTCTTCCTTGCCAGTGGTCATGTCAAATAGGGTGCGTTTACTTCTGAGTTAGCAGTGCTAATTCTGATAACCGGATGTGACGTCATTAGCACGTGTATTCGTGCTTGCTTGTCGAATTCGAAAGTGAACACATACGCTAACAAGAAATATGGCGGTTTCCAGCCATATTTCTTGTTAGATTATGTGTTCACTTTCGAATTGGACAAGCAAGCACGAATACACGTGCTAATGACGTCACATCCGGTTATCAGAATTAGCACTGCTAACTCAGAAGTAAACGCACCCATAATGATAATCGCAATAAGCAACAGTTGACTACTTCGACTGGGACCTAAATAAATAAGCAAAGTTGAAAAACTTGCATTACTTTTATAAAATTTACTGCGATTGTTTTAGATAATTCTGTACTATAGATTAGTGGCGTGCCGTTCATGGAAGCTGTGGAAGCACAGCTTCCATGACAGCACGCCACTGATCTATTATATTCCCTTGTATTTTCTAAAATATAAATATATACAGTATTGTGCGATTATTTTCATATTTTAACGTACTTTGAATTAATTAAATCTTGTTGTTTAATCGATGAACTTAATACAATTTTGCAATAATTAATCACTAAAATAGTATTTTTAGAAGCAATAATGATTTTAGGATAAAATAATAGTCCAAAATAGGTAAAGTGGGAAGGCCGAGATAGGCCTACTCTAGGGAATTCGGAATCGAATTCTAGGAATTTTTCATGGGTTATCTGTCCCGTATACATCGGGCTCGTTTCCTCATTATCTGGCCGCCCTCGTTGTGGGTCTGGCCAAGCCTACGAAAAAAAAGAATCTTAATCCAAGGAATCCCTCTTAATGCACGCAAAATGTAAAAAATGGGTCAAGTTAATGATATCGCGAGTATTTGTCATATGATCAACAATTAATAACGCTCTTTTCATTTAAAGTTGTTCACTAAGAAATTGTTCTCTCTTAGCTTCATTTTTCGATATATTTTAAACATATTTTATACGACTCTAGATTTAACTTTTCTTTTAATTTTATTATAGAATACAAATTCGATAAAATAATTTACCTTTTACATATAAATTTTAGCTTATACTTCTATTTAAAATTTTCAATATTAATTACTTATTATTATTTTTCTTTTCGCATACTAATAAATAACATAGTATGCTTTACTTTTTTAATATACGTTATTGAATAACTTGATTTCTAAATTCTGATATTAAATTTAAGTTTGCTTCGATCGCAAATGCGCGACGTGCACAAGAAAGAAAATAATCTGCCAATTTCAATATTTTTCAATGTACTGTATTTTGGAAATTTAAGTTTGACCATACTCGGACAAATTATAGAAATCTAACGTTCTGGAGGATCAGAATTGATTAAATTCAGACAACCTTAGGAATTTTTCGTGGCATTCTGTCCCTGTTATGTCAGGCTCTGTCTCTCGTCACAAGGCGTTCAGGCCCATTACAAGGATGGTCGAATCCACGATGTACCTAGGAAAGCTCTTTTAGTGTGCCAGAACGAAAAGAGTAAAAGTAGAATAAATGTGTTCGTGTAAGGATCACTTCAATGACATGTAGAGGCTACTAGATGTATCTAATAGCTTTATAAAAGTGACGACGTCGAAAGGAAGAAGCTCATTTCATAAATAGTAGTGTTCAAGATACAAAGCAAGATACAATGTAATACCGCGTAATTATTTTTAATTCAAGCTGTTATTGATTTACTTTCCGAATTTAAATTTTTGTTATATACTCAAATAAACAAACGTGCTATTTTGATGAAATAAACTGTTTTTAAATATCAACTGAGTTCAATATTGATGAATAGCGCAAAAATATTTTTATATCACATGCAAACTAACTTACGTTTACGTTGATAACGTTATAAAAAAATTAAATGTTGTTGAGAAGTTTTTTCAGTTTTAAGAAAAAATATAATACACTCGTAACAATCAATTACGCACCGAGAAGGAAGCGTTAGAATTGATGGTAATAAAGATTCCCACTGAGAAAATACGGTACTAGTGCGAAGCTTCTTTTGCTTTGATACTGTAATCACTTGTAA